CGTTGATAACTTGGTATGCGTAATCTGATAGTCACAGCAACATTTAATTGAGTTACATTATCATAATAATTGGCATATTTCAGTTATCATTGTAAGGAGACAGAGATTTTAATATGATTTCTAAAGTGGTCAGTCAATGGCTCTAGGAGATCCAAGATCAAATCCGGGCGAGTCAAAAAAAACCCAGAAATTTTCGGAGGTGGTCCGTCCTGCATATGACGGACCCCGTCCCTCATCATCCGTCTACTCTCATTGTGGGTCGAGCCAAACTCATGGTAAGCATGAAAAAAGGCCCTGTTAGTGCTCATGGCGAAAAGAACAAAAAAAAAAAGATAAGTGATTTTATCCACTTGGACACTGGTGGGCTGTAATTAAAGTGACCAGATCTTGCGAGAAGTTAGGCCGGACACTTGATCCGCCGGAGTCGATCACAAAACTAAACTTTTGTATTAGTTGGTGCTAGGATCCAACCGTTAGTAATTGGTGCACTTCTAAAAGAAAAGTGGCGAACAGCGATCTAGTGAGCACCGCCTTAACCAATTTATTATATTTTAATTTAGTGATGTAACGAATATTCGGTTACTATTCGGTATTCGGTTTATTCGGTCTATATTTCGCTATTCGGCCGAATACCGAATACCTAAAAACAGGAGTAAGAAATAACAAAAACACAATAAATTAATCATTTTGGTATTTAGATTTAATGTTGTCGGGTTAGTGTTGTTTGTTTATATTTATTTATAACTTATAACATGCACAAAATAAAAAATAATAATAATATTAGTCACACGTATTCACAATTTATAATTACAAAGATCAGCACACGTACACACCTATTCGTTCGAGAATCGTCGTACACACCTGAGGGTCTGACCCTGCCTATCCTTTTTAAGCGCTCGTCTTTGCTCTTTCCTTTCTCTTTCCTCTATCTCTCTAGTCCACGTATGCTTATGCATACATCATAATACGATACTTTCGATTCGTCACTTTTCCGTCGTAGTTTTTCCATTTTATAATTACGTGACTCATAGCCTGGTGATAACGGAGAAAAGAGACAGATAAAACGTCGGTATATGTCACAGTTATGATTTCACAGATTCGAGACAGCTTGGTAGCCCGAACGGTCCCAGGTTTTCGCCCGTGCACGCTAAGTGACTTTCATTGCAGGCTTTCCGAAGTCTATGACAACAATTGTTTGGCATCGACGGCCGCAAATTTCGCGCCAATAAGCTGCTTCGACTTGTTCAATTATGTTATCAACTCAATTTCATATTTATTTTCACATTTTCACTACGCGGTCCTTCTCTGTTCTTTTTCCCTTATTTACACGTGTAGGTCATTTCATTTTTATTCACATTTGATATCATCATTTATCGCATACTACCATGATGCTCTTGTCTGTCCGCTATAACTGTCAAGAATTAACGCGATTGGCAAAGCGTAGTGATAGTGGGCCAATAGAGAGCAGGGTCCTTGCCATAATGCGGTTTGTGCAATAGAGAGCAGGGTCCTTGCCATAATGCGGTTTGTGGTAACGTCTATATTATCTCAGTAATCCGACATTCTCGTGCGCCAATTTTCGTACGTGCGTTAATCAAGCCGAATAGTTTGGCCGAATATTCGGCTATTCGGCCACGCTCCTGGCCGAATATTCGGCTATTCGGCCACGCTCCTGGCCGAATATTCGGTATTCGGCCTGAGGCCGAATATACTATTCGTTGCAACACTAATTTTAATTGATAACATAATGTTGCTTCTCGATAAATTAATAACAGGATCGCTAATTTAAAAAATTTTTAACAACCTGTTTTTGCAAGCCAGTTCTAGCACTCTACCAGGTATCTTTATTTGCGCATTTTGTGTTGGTTCAAAGCCTTTTTCACATTTGTTGGAATATTATCAAATAAGCGGGACATTTTTAGAACTTACAAGTTAGAAGCAGCGGGACAGACCACCTAAAAGCGGAACGTCTGATCACCTTACCGTAATGTAATATGGATGCACAAGTATAGACATTGTTAAGGGTGATATAGTGATCACAAGAGAGTTGAATTTATAACATAGGTCCAATACTGTATTTCACTTTATCAGTTTTATGAATTTTAAATAATTCATGTAATGTAATGTTCTATTTGTGTTATATCGTATTTTGTAATTTAACTGTATTTCTCTCTCTTATCCATTATACCATTTGGATTTTGCACATAACTTTTACAGACGAATATCTTTTCTGATACTAACTCTCACCATTTAGGCCTACTCGGACTTGCTCTCTCGATGGCTGATTTTGGGTAGAGAAGAAGCTGGAGGAAAGAAGGAAAGCGTAGAAGAGAGAGGCATGAAGATCAGCAGAGCAAAGACAGTGTGTATGACATTTAGAAGAGATGAGAATTATATACAACTGCAAGGTGAAAAGTTAATAACAGTTTTCAAATTTAAGTAGTTTGGATCATATGCGGCGAATGATGGAGGAATGGGTGTAGAAATTCAGTATAGAGTTCAGAGTGGATGGCTGTACTGGAAAAGATAAGTGGAATGCTTTGTGGTAAGAAAATAAGTTGCAAAATGAAAGGAAGATTAATTAATAAACAAAACCGTGGTAAGACCTGCAATGATATACATTGATGACGTGGGTGATTACAAGAGCCCAGAAAAAGGAGATGGCGGCAATGGAGATGAGAATGTTGAGATGGATGTGCGGTGTGACGAAAAAGGAGACAGTTATGATTACATCAAAGGAACAGTCAAGATGGGTCCATAAGTAAGAAAATGCAGCAAAGTAGCGAGCAAAGAAGAGAAGAAGCGAGGACTATGTTAGAAAGTAGATTGAGAAGTTGGAAGTTGATAGAGGGAGGAAGAGGGAAGACCAAAGCTGAGATGGAGAGACAAGATGGCAGAGAATTTCAGAGAGAAGACGCCTTGAACAAAGAGAAGTAGAGAAGACAGATTAAAGATGAAAATGCTGACTCCATATAAGCATGAGAATAAGTAAAGACGAAGAAAAAGTATTTTTCTATTTATTTAATCAGTCAGTCTTTAACCTCTGTTTATAACCAATAGAATTATGCTGTTTTTATTCTCATATTAATAATACTTAACAATAACTAGTTAAAATTTACCCACTAAAATTGAAATTCAAATTTTTCTCCGTCGCAAATTTCAATTATATTTTACGTTTCCATGAAAATGTTAGTCATGCCACACATCCTGTTTTCCTGTTTACGTTGGTCTTATTTCTGTGTACAGTATTGCATGTCAACGCGCCGTACTATTTACCCGCCTGCATCCAAAAAGAATCAGTACCGAAGGGCGACAGATCACATCATTCATTGCTTTTACGTCTATATTATCTCAGTAATCCGACATTCTCGCTAATCTGGTATCCGCTGTGCAAGGAATAGCCGGATTAACAAGAGTCTAGTTTATCCATCATTTTCGGAACAAATACATAATGATGCTTAAGCGATATTAGATAATGTATCTTTGGATAAGATTTCGATAAACCCATAAAAGTCTTTCTAACTTCTCTAACAATACATTTTTGGTTACGCATTATAAAAATATGTTCCCTTGGGTTTCATTTAAATTTTGTATGTTTCTATATAAAACAGTAAAATTACAGTTTAATAAGCCCACATTTGAGGTATGATTTCATTTCATAAAATGTTTTTCGTTGACAAAAATAATACGCCTCTTTCATGGGAATTCGTAGAAAATTTTCCAGGGGGACAAATCAGCAAATTTTTATTTATTTAATTTTTATGTGCCGAAGGACGAAACCGGCCAACCCGTAATAAAATTTTAAGACAGTGTCTCATGTTGGAGAATGTAAGTTGGGCCTATATATATCGCAATCACTTTTACGATTAAAGTTTGTAGAATTTTTTACCCGCTTCCAGGGAGGGGCAAGTGCCATATTTACTTCCCTGTGGATGACCATGGTTTCTCATATATGTTGTAAAGCATCAAACACTAAGAATCATTAAATTCTTGTTGTAAATTAATTATACAAGGCACTATCACCGATCACTTTCAAAAATGTCTGGAATTGAGTGTCAAGTTTTTCGAATATCTGATGTGAAAAATTAAGATATTTTGCTTTTTTATGACAAAAATATTTCATAATTATTTAAAATGTAAGATATAAGGCCTCTGCTTTTACAGATTAACCTATCCATCACTATAATTTATTTAGCGATTTTTTTTTTCTTTTCTCTCTCTGTAAAACAAATAAAACTTATTATTATGAAAGAATCATCCTAGCTATTTATATTCGATTCTCTGATTCTGATTCTGATTATAGTCGAATTAAAGCTAGTTCTTATAATTTTTCTTTTTCTGTAGTTAAATTTTACAATCTTTCAACCATTGTAGAAATATCATCATCTTAATTCATCTCATCCATAATTGTTTTCCGTTGGCATAGATAAATCATCAAACATATAATATTCAATTTACGTAACACATAATGGCGGATCCAGAAGTATCCAAAAAGAGGGGCTAACTCAAAAATATTAGAATAATTAATAAGTATCTTTCATTAACATGTGCACAATGATTGTATTGCTGATGTCGGATAAACCAAATCTCGAACAAATGTTTTTTTTTCAAATGTTTTTTAATCAATGGGGAGGGCTTAAGCTCTTGTAGCCTTTCTCTTGTATCCACCACTGATAACGTGAAAAATTAAAAATAAACTAACTTTATACATATTGCTAATGTTCTTAATTAATTTATGAGAAAAAGCAATTCTGTAATATTAGAATAATCATTTATAAATGTGTTGTATTTTGAATACATTTTGAAATTCAAAACTGAATTTCAGTACGTGGTCCTTCTAATGAATTTCAAAACAGTTTAATTAAGAATTTTATTATATCTTGACAAGTATAAATGTTTTAAAAATAATTAATATGTGCGGTATATAGCAGTAAAAACATAATTTGAAATAAGTTTTATTGTAATAATATTCTAAATAATACAAAAAGATCTTTTGAGATCTATAAAACATTAAATTTTCAAAAAAAACATGCTATTTTGTTCCCTTCATTTTTTCTAATTCATCTAAGAGAGCAGAATCGAAAGGTCCACAAATATACTTTCCTTGCGAATTCGGATCTTTGGACACCCAGTAATCATATACGAGTTCTCGAAACCTGTCCGAAGTCATTGCATTTCCATTTGCAATGTCGTCGTTCTGTATATGAAGGAACAAATCACCATAAATTTTCTCGAATATTGATTACATGTTTAATTTTATTTTAATTGACACTTACGTTTAACATGTACATGAAACATTCTTGAGCTCTGTTGACGTCCATATTATAATTTGTTAAATACTTTTTATAATCTTTTAAACAGAACAGTCCATCCTCTATTCGAAAAAAAATATATCATACACAAATTAATCGAATATAAGTTATATACTGTACTATAAAACATAGAATGTAATAAAACTCTTTAACTGTATATTTATATGAAAAATTTCCACATTAAAACCAAAATTAAAAATTAAATAATGAGAATTTCGTCAAAATGTATAAAAAAAATTAAAATAATTTTTCAGAACTTAAGATAAACATTACCTGATTATGTTTAACTTTTTGACTCTTGAGAGCGAAGTTTACAGGAAACATCTATTGCTAAGTTCAGACAAGCTTCTGTATATATAGCATAAACAGAGACGACGACATAATTTCGTTGGCACCTTTGACGTAACACACGCATCTATATATGGATGTTGATGATGTCGAAATTTTAACTTATTCCGACGAATCGTGGGCGAAGATCAAAATCAAACATTATTCATAATTTTTTTTTGTCTCTTAAAGTAATTAATGTGTTGGATGTTAAGTGTNCAAATTAATCGAATATAAGTTATATACTGTACTATAAAACATAGAATGTAATAAAACTCTTTAACTGTATATTTATATGAAAAATTTCCACATTAAAACCAAAATTAAAAATTAAATAATGAGAATTTCGTCAAAATGTATAAAAAAATTATATTTATTAATAAATGGGTAATAACAAAATAATTAGGCCTACATTAAATTATAATACATTATAAATATACATACATATTATATATTAAATTTTATTATATATATCAATATGGTAAACTTATGGTTAAAAATTGTTTTAAAAAGTAGCCATTTACTTCCTAAATAGAAAATGTATAATTAATTTATAAAGTTACTTCTTTACGGTTTGTAACATTTATCAGAAACGATTTCGGACTAGTGTGTCGTCATCATCATCATAATTCATTACTGTAACAGAAAATTTTTTTATAATTCAGAATAATTTTAAATGAATGTTCTTGATAAAGTGGCATTGGTCTCGAAAACGTTTTAAATAAATGTTACCTAACTTAGCAGGTTTGTACGTTGTAGCACTTAATCTTGCCACAATCTGTAAACCATGACAACTATACCATATATCATGGATTTATATTCCCATGAGAACATAAATCATGGAATCTATGGAATATAAGTTTTTAAATTTCACGTAAGATACGGAAAACAATAACCAAAATTTTATATGGAGAAACATTTTTATTGCAATATCAAATTTCGTAATCGTAAGCAAAAATATTCTGATTATCTTTATTGTTCTTGATTTTTTTTTATCTTTCAAATTCGGGTTCTTCATTGTAAAATAACATGCAAAAACAATCATTTTTAACTTAAAAGATCAATTATGCGTGAAATTAACATTAATATACAGGTAACCACCGTATAATACGTGAGTTACGTTCCAAAAAATTGCCGTGTTATAAATCCATGTTATACGAAACAAAGAACTAGTGCGAAAAGGGGGGGTTAGGTTCCAAAAATTAAAAAAAACATGCTGTTAAATCCTTATTTAAATCGGATTTATTATTCATTTTTTTCATAGGTAAAATACTTATTTATTATTTAAGTAAATATTTTACCAGAGGATTATTCATCCTATATGATGATCTCAGCATGAGCATTATCAACTAGTAACAGTTTTTGGGTGCGTTCGTTAATAGCAGTCTCTCTGCAACGGGAGTGCACTGCTGTTTGTAGGCATTTAGGAACAACGGTGAAAGAAAGATGGTGGCGCCCGCACTATCGATATTATCGTGATGGAAGAATCTATAATTCTAAAATGAGCTTTTAGAGGCAAAAGAAGGGTCCCAATTGTAAAATTTAACCATTAAATGGATTATTTGTTGAAAGAGCATTCAAAGTAGCC